TCGCCGGCGGGCCTCGGGTGGGGCGCGCGGGAGCCGCCGGAACTACGCGCACCCGCCACCTGTGCGGCGCTCCTAGCGCGGAGCTTGGGTTTGAGGAGGTGAAAATGCGGTGGGTGGGGAGGGGTGGCAGGTGTGGGGTTTACCTAGAAAATAGGGGAGTCGGAGTGCTGCTAGCAGAGGTGTTGGCCGTTTGCTTTGTCATCTGTCACATGGATGCCGCAGTTGCACCAGATTCGGCGTCGGGAGAGAGCTTGGGAGTTCAGCTGTCTCTGCCTTAAAGTTGTACGCTTCCGCCTGGGACAGCACCGATTCTAGGATTATTAGAGGATGTCACTAAGAGATGGTGACTAGCAACTCTTTTGAACGTTAAAATTGCTTTTAAAAATGTAGGCACGTGTATGAGAGTGAACAGTCCTGATTTTTGGTTATTTTTCATGAGATGGGAGGAACGGAAGCGCTTCACTCGGATAATTCATGATCTCTAATACTCTTTCTGGGTTTACCGAGCTCTAATAATTTCTTCCAGGTTTAAATTACATGACTGACTCCCCAAAGGCAGTTAGAGTATATTTAGTTTACACACAATTCACGTTTCTTTTTTTTTATTTTTTTTTTTTATTTTTTTTTTTTTATTTTTTTTTCAACGTTTATTTATTTTTAGGACAGGGAGAGACAGAGCATGAACGGGGGAGGGTCAGAGAGAGAGGGAGACAGAGAATTGGAAACAGGCTCCAGGCTCTGAGCCATCAGCCCAGAGCCTGACGCGGGGCTGGAACTCACGGACTGCAAGATCGTGACCTGGCTGAAGTCGGACGCTTAACCGACTGCGCCACCCAGGCGCCCCACAATTCACGTTTCTTAAAGTCCTGGTGGAAATTTTTAAAAGATTTTTTTTTAAAGTTTATATAATTGAGAGAGAGACAGCGCGAGTGGGGGAGGGGCAGAGAGGGAGAAAGAGAATCCCAAGCAAGCTCCCTTCTGCCAGTGCAGAGCCCTAAGTGGGGTTAGAACTCACCAAACTGTGAGATCATGACCTGAGCGGAAACCAGTTGGATGCTTAACTGTCTGAGCCACCCAGGTGCCCCTAAAAAGATCTTTGTTGTTTGTTTAGAGGGGTGTTTGAAGCTGTGAATTCCATTGAGTGGATCCTACCATGCCTTTCCTTACCACTGAAAATTCTAATAACACCTAAATAGCACTTTGCTTATGCTATTTATTATATAGGTTAGTTACCTCGTTTAATGCTTCTAATTACCCTATGAGGTAGGTACTATTAGCCACATGTTATAGATGAGAAAACAAAGCGAGAGAGGTGGTAATTTGTTGCCTAGGACACACTGCTAGTAAAGGGCGATTGGGATTTTGAACCCAGGCATTCTGGCTCCCGAGAGTCTGTGTGTTTAATTGCCATGCTGCCTCTCTAAAACTTCTTTGTAAAATTCCAAAATTATGACAATTAGCTGTGAGTGTACATCTAAATTTTACCGAGCCAAGGTCTGCTATTCAAGACAGTGACTGGTTTAAAAATCCTGGTACGGGGCGCCTGGGTGGCTCAGTTGGTTGAGTGTCCGACTTCAGCTCAGGTCACGATCTCACAGTCTGTGAGTTCGAGCCCCGTGTCGGGCTCGGGGCTGATGGCCCAGAGCCTGGAGCCTGCTTCCGATTCTGTGTCTCCCTCTCTCTCTGCTCCTCCCCCGTTCATGTTCTGTCTCTCTCTGTCTCAAAAATAAATAAACGTTAAAAAAAAAATGAAAAAAAAAAAATAAAAAAAAATAAAAATCCTGGTACGTGATAGTCATCATTCCTGGAATAGGTGCAGTCCAGATAGTTAATGAAGCCTCACTTTTCTGCAGGAGTGTTTTAATGCTGAAGTACAGTGAACAGTAGTCACAGGTCCTGTTGCAGAGCTTACTGTCTGGGTGTGGTGACGGGGAGTGCAGAGAAATCAGCCTACATTATAATGTGACTCAGTCTGTGACTAGCTGTAGTACAGGTTATTGGAGGCTGTCGTAGGACTGTGGAGGTTTCCTGGATAAGGTGAATTCTCAGCTGATAAAGTATGCTAAATTAGCTGGGTGAAGCACAGGGGAAGCATCAACAGCAGGGGAAAAGGATGTGACCAGATCAGGAAACCTAAGGTGGTTAAGGATAGGTAAGTGTAGGCTATAGAGAAAGAGGGGGATGATGGTGGGAAGGGTCCAGATCTTAAAGGTCCTTGTGTCAGCCATAGTAAAGAATCTGGATTTTTTTTTTTTATGAGCTATGGAAGTATTTTAAGCCATACTATATCATCATATTTGCCATTTAATAAAATAATAATTGCTTACATTTATTGACACTTGCTATGTTCCAGGCTCTGTTTGAATTGTTTTATGTGTATAAACTCGTGTATAACTTATTTAATCTTCACAATAGATCTGTGACAGAAGTCCCGTTTTACCCATTTTTTAGATGAGGAAACTTAGGCAAAGAAAGGTTAAGTACCTGAACCAAGTTCATGTAATCAGTAAGTAGCAGACCTGGAATTCAAAGTAGCTGCATTGTGGAGAGTGGAAGGGACAACAGATCTGGAAGCAGAGCAGTTAGGCAATGGCTGTTGTAATCCAGAAGAGAGATGATGATGTCCTGAAGTGGGGAAGTGGCAGAGAGGATGGATTATGTGGTAGGATTTCAGAGTTATTTAGTGAAAAGGACTAGGTGATTGATTAGATGTGAGTGATGAGGGAGAAGAGACGGTTTTCTACTTGAGAAAGTGGGACCTTTCACTGAAACTGGGAAACCCAAGAGGAATAGGTTTGGGGGTGAGGAGACCATGAATATAATGAATTTATTTTTGTTATAGTGGATTGTTAGTGTTTTTAGTATAATGTACTCAGGAGAGAATCCAGGTCTAAAGATTTAGATTTTGGGAGTCCTTACTATATAGTAGAAATTGAAGCCATGAGATCTTCTAGTAAGTGTATATCAAATGGCACAAAGTCACTGGTTTAACTTATATAAAACGTCAGCATTTATAGGGGTACAGGTAGAACAAGGAAGGCATCTTTTTTTTTTTTTTTTAATATTTTAATGTTTATTTATTTTTGAGAGAGAGAGGGAGGGAGGGAGGGAGACATAGAATCTGAAGCAAGCTCCAGGCTCTGAGCTGTCAGCACAGAGCCCAATGCAGGGCTCAAACCCAAGAACTGTGAGATCCTGACCTGAGCCGAAGTCGGATGTTTAACCGACTGGAGCCACCCAGGTGCCCCAAGGAAGACGTCTTTAGAGGAGACCAAGTAGAAGGAACCAGAGAGGTAGGACATGAAGACTGTATGAGGATGACAGAAATGAACAGTTGGATTGTCACCTTCTAAGAGTTCACATATTTTAAAGAGTCTGACATGTGCTTTGGCTATAGTAGTAAGATGATTGTTAGTAACCTCCTGACTGGTAGTTTGTCTGTAAACAAATCTTTCAAAGGGTTGGGCTTTGAAGGAGTGGAGAGGGGGCTATAAAGGAGAGAGAGATTGAAGGAGGGAGGTTTTTGTTTTTGTTTTTAATGGGCACATACATCACACAGGGGGTTGGGAAAGAGGCCTCCAGAAGAGATGAATGGATAGTACCACTTAATCGAGTAGTAAACTTTTAATGGTATAATCATTTATTTAAATATTATGTACCCCTTTTTTTTTTGCTTCTATTTCTTTTTTATAGGATGACGTTGTGATATGCCCCTATGATTCCAATCATCACATGCCTAAATCATCTTTAGGAAAGCACATGGTATCTTGTAGATTGAGGAAACTGGGCTATACCAAAGAAGAAGAGGTACCCTATATTTATTATGTATATATGTCATGTAATTCCCACATTAATAAATTTACAGTATTCGGAAGATATAGTGTGAGGTTTTCTGTCAAAATAATAGTTATTTGTGGGGTGGAATGGTACTTGCCTAATTTCGCAAACTTTATTAAGAAATATTTAAATGATATAATCTTTTGTTCATGTCAAATCTTAAAATAGTCAATTATCTGTTACTCAAGAATACTAACTTTTTTTTTGTTTTTACCATTTAGGATAAAATGTATAATTCTGATTTTTTCTATGAGAATGTGAAGATACCTTCAATTACTTTGAGTAAGTATTAATTTAATTATAATTAAAATGTTTTTTTTTTTAACGTTTATTTATTTTTGAGACAGAGAGAGACACAGCATGAACGGGGGAGGGGCAGAGAGAGAGGGAGACACAGAATTGGAAGCAGGCTCCAGGCTCTGAGCCATCAGCCCAGAGCCTGACGCGGGGCTCGAACTCGCGGACAGCGAGATCGTGACCTGAGCTGAAGTCGGACGCTTAACCGACTGAGCCACCCAGGTGCCCCAAATTTAATTATAATTTAAAAATATCTTACTATAGGCATTGATATTTCATTTTTGAATTATCAAAAGGATCGACTTTTTAGTATGCTTGTGATTAAGAAGGACATTTTGTACCTTGAGAGAATGTAGGATTAATTAATGTACTGTGAAAGTAGTTTGCTTAATCTGAAATTTAGAGATGAGGCTTTTATTAATAGGTCATGGAAAGCTTTGTACAGTAAGACAGATACTTTCTTTCTTGGTTATAACAAAAATCTGGCCACAACACAGTTTGCAGAGTGAGTATGGAAGTGTGTTCCAGGTGTTAACAGCATAGACAGAGGTTAAAATTTCAGGCTGTAGAATCAGAATGCCCTGATTCAACTCCTGGTTTTGTCACTAATAGATTTGTGACTTTCAGAAAGGTAATTTAACATTTTTGTTACCTAAATTTCTTCATAAAATGGGGGATGATGATAATAGCACCTTTGTGAGGATTAAATGATATATATGTAAAATGCTTAGAAGAGTGCTTGACGCTTAGCTAGAGTCAAGAAATGGTAGCTATTATTGGTTGCTAAAATTTGCAACAACTACTGCAGTATGCCTGATGGTAATGTTTTCTGAACCACTTGAAGTCTTGTTACTTACTGGGTTCTAGCTAGATCTGAAAGAATTCTGTGTTCAGATTATGTGGGGAGTGATGTGGGTGTTTTGTTCTTAAGATTCTGGGGGCGCCTGGGTGGCTCAGTCGGTTGGGCGGCCGACTTCGGCTCAGGTCATGATCTCACGGTCCGTGGGTTCGAGCCCCGCGTCGGGCTCTGTGCTGACAGCTCAGAGCCTGGAGCCTGTTTCAGATTCTGTGTCTCCCTCTCTCTGACCCTCCCCCGTTCATGCTCTGTCTCTCTCTCTGTCTCAAAAATAAATAAATGTTAAAAAAAAAAAAAAAAAAAAAAAAAAAAAAAAAAAGATTCTGGAAGATTTGTCAATGTGCCCAAAGAGCTTGGATTAGAAACCAATTAGTTAATTTAGTTGTGGACACTGATGATTCATTCTGTGTTTATGGGTGCTTTTTTTGACAGATAAGGACTCACAATTCCAGATAATTAAACAAGCTAGAACTGCAGTTGGAAAAGAGGGTGATTGTTATAATCAAAGTAAGTAGCATCATAATTTGAGCTAATTAATAATTCAAACTATTTTTTAAGTACATGTTACTAATTTTTAAGAAAAATCTTGTGCAAACAGTTACATGGGAAAAATTAAGTTTTACATTTAACATTAGGCCAATGTGTTTGGTGTCAGCTTCATTTGTTAGATATTTTCTGCTCAAATATAGCAGAATCTCACTGGGCTGCTGTCTTAGCTAGGGTTTCATGGCTTGGAATCACCTAATAGGTGAGATTATCTTGTAGATCATTTTTATTCTAGTTATTTGGTAACTAAATCCCACTGAGATTGTCTAACCCTGAGATTTCTTTCCTTTCTTGAGAATTAGCCCATTGTTAAATGTAAGGATATTGAAACACAATGTAAAAGGAAAGGCTTAGGCTGAAAGAGAATTTGAGAATAAAGCCCAAACACAAGGTTTTCCATACAGGTTCAGAAAGTTTGTGGACCCCTTCATGCCCAGTCCCTTCTTCCAGGGACTTACTTTAGTAGAGACTAGGTTAGAATTTTTAAGTATGAGCTTTTAGGAAATGAAAAGAAAACGAAATCCATCCAAAACATAGAAGTAAATGAGTAGATAGAGTTAATAGATTTCTGAACCTAGATATAACATGTAGCCAAAGCATTACTGTCTCCTTCTTATAAGGGTTTCTGAGTTGTCTTTGAACCTTCTAAAGATAGATTTCTCTGGGCATCTTACCTTTTTTTTCCGTCCCCTCATTTTTCTTTCTAGCTCAATTATATTCATTAGCCCGTAGTTAGGATTTGTTTCTCCCTTGCTGAAGTTCAGTCTTTACCCTTTGTTCTAAGCCAATATTTGGACTTGATTTTTTCTTAAGCTGCACTGTGGCTTCAGGAGGAGGAACTCTCTTACCGGTGGTGTATATTACATTGGTTCCATGCAACAGCCAGAAGCACATTTCTTGTATTTCCTGTTTTAAAGCTCCCATTTTTATGTACTTTTTGCCAAATTCTAGAGTTTTTTTTCTTTGAGGGAGACATTTGACTCTTACTTGAAGAGATTACTGAGCTCTGATCAATCAAGCCTTTTTTTGGCCCTTATTATTGATTCTGTCTCTTACCCCCAGTTTAGTTAACAAACCAATAAAAATGTAGAGGATTTTGCTATTGTCTTTTTGGAGGGGTTAATAGTTAAAGGCCTTTTTGACTTTAACTAGTCAGATAGATTTGCTGAATTTATTTTAGAATTGAAAGAGAACTGGAAAATCATCTAATCTGGCATCTGATTTACAGATAAGGAAACAAACCCTATCTGAGAGAAATGATAAGGTTCTGGTGTGTTTGTTCTGAAGGCTCTCAATATTTTATTTTTTTTTAAAGGGATTCTTTTTTAAAGCTGTTTTATATATTTTGTTTCTCTTTCATAACTAACTTGAGATAATCTGGACAAATATTTTCCCCTCCATATCAGGTGAAGAAATTAGAGACACACAGAAATGGGTTAACACTCCTTCGTTAGATAATAGCAAGTCTTGGTAATAGCAAAGCTGGATTGAGGGCCAAGTTCTGAATTTTGGTACACACTCTGAACTGAGTTATTCTGTTTTCTGTTAGAAAATTTCATTTAGTGAAATTTGTGGACTAAGATTCTAGCTGTTGCTCATATATTCATTATTTATTATGTCTATTATAAATAAGTACAAGGTAATCACAGACTTCAAATCTGTACCTACTCACTGCTATTAGTAATGTTCATTGTTTGTTCTAGTTTGTAAGCCTATTTTAAGGAAAGAAACTAGTTGCTTGGCCTGGTACAAATGACAGTTTTCCTGAGGTTTTGTTTCCTTTTCTGTAGTATAAAACTATCTTACAATGTTGTTTAAAGCAATGGAGATAATGAATGCTAAACTAGCACTAGCTCTAATATATGGTAATTTCTATTGTCTAAGCAATTTAATTTCTAAGCACATTAATGTATAGAAAGCCATATTAAGATAATAAAATGGGTGAGAATTTTATATATGTGGGTAATTTAATGTTCTCAAGTTTTTTAATTTATATTAACTAAGTAATAAGGTGGATTAGACATTGAATTTAGTTCTTTTCAGAAGCAAAGAATTACTTTGAATAGTTCTTTCAGTAGAAAAGTTAAGAGGAACTTTTATTTTGTTTTCACACTCTATTAAATTAAACTGTTAAGAATTTTTTCTTAAATGATCTGTAACCCTCTTTTTAAAACTTTTTTTCATCTTGTGTAGAGCTCTGCAGTTTCTCAATAGACATTATTTTTGTGACCCACTTATGTCTTAGACATTTTTAAATCTTACAGCCTAGAACAAGAATCTTTTTTAATATGTTACTGATTTATTTACTTTGAAGGAAGAATGACTAACATAAGCAAATTTACATTTTCCCATTTAATTAATATTTTGTGTGTCTTGTACTAAGTTGTAAGTTTTTGATAAGTTATATTTATGTTTCCATTTTGTCAGTCATACCAGGTCTCCACTCAGTGTACAGAATTCTCAATTCATGAACTTGTGAAAGCTTGATGCAACCATGAGATGTACTTACCTATTATCAACCATGAGATGTTAATTTTATAACCAAGATGCTAATTTTAATCATAAACAATCATTTTACATTTAGTGGCGTATCTTTTTCTTTCAGTATTATTTGCTGTATTTCAATTTCATGACTATATTTGAATCATGGCCATGATTTGAAGATCAGTGTATTATACTAAACCCTTGAGAGACCCTAGTAGATTGGTTCTAGGCCTAATCTGTTCTTACCACTTGTGTGACTTGGGCAAGTCATTTTACCTCTATGGGCCTTAATTTCTTTATCTCTGATGTTGGAAATTGACTCTGTATGTATTCTTCCTAAAATTCTGAATTTGTATCTTTGAGCCAGTACCTTCTATTAATGTTTAATATTATATATGTCATACGTTTAAGATGCTCTGTGATGGCAAAAGTGACTAAAAAGAAAGAATTAGAGTTACTAAAAAGGTAGATTAGAGTTTCAGTTTGGGTGAAGAAAAACTTCTGGAGACGGACAGAAGTTATGGTTGCAAAACAATGTAATATACTTAATGCCTCTAAGCTGTACACTTAAAAATGGTTAGATGGTAAATTTTATGTTATATATATATTGCTACAGCTTTTAAAAGGCTACTACAAAAAAAAGTAGAGGATCGTGGAATTTAATATGATTACAGCACGTCTAGGTGTATTTCTAAATCGTGTAGAAGCTTGTGTTTGAAAAGTTACATTTTATGGAAATGTAAGCTTATTTGTGTTTATCCTTTTTTTTTTTTGTCAGAAATATCTATGTTCTGAATTATTTGAATGCAGTTTGTTGTTTAACTTTTCCTGTACTTTTTCTTTTTCAGTAATTGGGGTGAGTATAAAGAGGAATTAGGAACCTGAATGTACTCCTTATTTAAAGATATGCAGTATCCTTTTTGCAAATGATATCCTTTTAAAAGTATCACTCAAATTTCTAAACTTGGTCTTAACCACTGTCACAGTATTAGAATCTTTGGAATTTTTGTTGAATTTCAAGGAATTTAAGTATCCATCATCACCATACAGAAATTTAAGATGAATGAAGACAACTCAGAATAATTTAAGGAGGAAATTATATTTCTTTGTCTAAAAATAATAGGCAAAGGTTTATGTGGATCTTGTTTGTAATATATCAGTGTTTTCTAATCTTTGTATTTTTCTCCCAGATTTTTATAAAAGCCTATATTCAAAGGAATTGGGCTTATCAAAGCTAATTCATTTTTATGGTACAAAATTAAATGTTTTCACATCTGCCTTCATAAAAAAGCTTTTCATAGTGTCTACCACAATTATAGTAAAATTGATTGACTTGAAAGGAAACCCTTCTCTACTAATTCAAAACCCTTCGACTAATACAAATGACCCTGTATTGTTATCCGCATCTATTCATGGACTCCTATTCAGTGTAGCCTTCCTCCTAATGTAGACAAATGTAAAGTCATCTCTTTTTTTGTGTTGTAGTACTTAGTTGGTAGTTTGCTCTTACTTGAATTTTTCTTTTGCCTCTTTACCTGGGAAGTTAAGGCTAGACTTTATCAAATAAAAGTATCTGGGAAGAGCTACTGATTTTACTTGTTCTGTGAACCAAAGTTATTACTTTAGGGTAGTAGCTCCTATTTATTGTTTGCATCAGTAAATAACGAAGGCTAGAAAGAATTGTGTTAAAACAATTGCTTTATTTACAGTTACCATAAATTTTTATTTCTTTGAGAAAATTTGAATCTCAAAACAAAAATTTTCTTCAATGTTTAATACATCATATCAAGGTATTGTATTTACTTTCTTTCATTAATAAGCAGATTTTAGAAAGTTCTGTGACTGTTGGGGGGGGCAGTGCTCTTAACTCTTTTAAATTAATTTGGTTGTGTCAATATGCTTCCTCTTCCGAAAATTAAAACAAATTTAGTCTCAGTTTTACCTGTCTTTCTCTGGTCTGAGGAAGTTTGGGATTTCTGCTACCTAATTAATTGTGTTTTGGTCCCTGGCTCTAAGTCATTGCAAAAGTGGGGTATATTTTGAATATGGAGCATCTAACTTGATGTCTCATATAAAAAAAGACATTTTTTACACATTTTTCATATTTCTATAATATATTTTCAGAGGGACTACAACGTGTATTACCTATTAAAAGCATTTTTTCCCAAGCTCTTATGGGAAAAAGCATATAAACAGAAAGAAAGTTACTATTTTTATCATATGGGTAGCCTTTTAAAAATTGTTACCCAGAAGGTTTCCTTATGAGCAAATTATGTCATGGTTATTATTGCTTGCCTTCATGGGATGTGTCTTAACATTCATTGTTGGAGAGAATAGCAAACATCCACAGTACATGCTTTCTGTGGGTATGGCTTTGAGGATAAAGTCACTGTTTATTATTTATCACACAGACGGATATTTTTTATATTTTAGGGATTACTGTGAAAACAATTGTGTTAATGTTGCATTATTACAGCGCATGTTTAAAGATAAAGAGTAAATTTTAAGTCCACAATGCTTCATGTATTGTTTATTCTTGTGGTTTTATTTTTACTAGGGATTTATTCTTCATTACCTGTTGAAGTTCCTCTGAATCACAAACGGTTTGTTTGTGATCTAACACAAGCTGATCGTCTTGCCCTCTATGATTTTGTAATGGAGGAGACGAAGAAAAAGCGCTCGGATTCTCAAATTATTGAAAATGACAGTGATCTCTTTGTAGACTTGGCTGCCAAAGTCAATCAAGGTTTGAGATGAATATAATAGTTTTATATTTCTTAATTGTCATTTCGCTCTTTGAGTGTTAACAAAGATTTAGTTGTTAGGCCACTTTGAGTTGAAAGAGGATGATTTTGCATTATCCGATATTCACATATATGTTAAGATATTTACTCAGGGCATGAAATTTTGCTCTCTGTCCTTTGTATTAAGCATATTTTCCTTCTATAAGAATGTCACTTATAGCTGTGCTGGTCTTTTAATCTTTATACCTTAACAATCTTAGGTTCAACTAATGGAGAAAAGGAATGATATAAAACTTAGTCTATTTGTATAATATGGAGTTTTTAGGATGTTTTTGTATGCATGGAAACATGTTGAAATATTGGATGATTGCGGTCTTTCTTCCTGCTAATTAGTAAGAATCTAAAAGCTTCCAAGGATATAATAATTTTGTTTTATTCTTTTATTAGATAATAGTCGAAAAAGTCCAAAGTCTTACCTTGAAATCCTAGCAGAAGTGAGAGATTATAAAAGAAGACGCCAGTCCTATAGAGCTAAGAATGTTCACATAACCAAGAAATCATATACTGAGGTAAGCTTTACATAATCTCTTAGAGCTTTGTTGAGAACAGAATGTCCCTTTGATAGTTTTCTAAGTCTGTTCTATGGATTTCCACAGTTCATAGAGGTTTTTTGAAAATACCTGATTTGTATTTGCTCCATTACTTTCAGATCCACTGTACCAGGCAAATAAGGCCTTTTCAAGGTACAAAAATCTTATGTAAAGAGGTTGTACAATCTTAAAAAATACCTACTTTTGAGAAAGCATTGTGTCATGATAAGTGCATAGATTTTGGCCTTAGACCTGGGTTTGAGTGTTGATTGTACTCTTTATCATTCGCTATTTGACTTGCACAAATTCTTTGAGCTTTTTAAGTTGCAACTTTTTTCATTTTATATATTTTATGTAGATTTTGTGGGGATGTTATAAGAATTGATTGAGGTAATGCATGTAGACACAGAAGTTGGCCAACAAACAACCGTTGTCTTTTCCTTACAGAAATTTTAGCATGCTTTTAGGTACTCTTCTAAATGTTTGGGCTTAAGAAATGTCTCGTATAAATTATTTATGTATTAATCTCTTGATGTATATCCAAAGTTATTTTCAGATGTCCTTTAGTGGATGGTCAGAGTTGATGAATTTTTTGGTACATGAATTACCTTGCCCAGACTCTACAAATAATCTCCTTATTGAATCTCTGAATTCTTCCCACATTATTTCTTACTTCTCTCTATGATTTCTAAGACCTTCCATAATCTGACCTTATTTTACCAAGCATTTTCTTTTGCTTTAGTCAAGCATGTCTCTTAAACTGTATCTGATTACACACATTTATTCTTATCTACATGTCCAAATAACATGTTTTCTCACCTGAAATGCTCTTTGTTGTTATTTTAAATCTTGATATAAATTTTAAGGCCTGTTGTTTCCATGAGGTGCTAGTTGACTCAGTCATTTGTTGATTTATTGTTTTAATGCTCTCTGTACCACATAGCTTAGCATTTAATCTTATGCTGTTCTTTGTATAATTAAAGTATATGTTTCAGTCTTATCTCTTCCAGTAGAGGTCTGGGACCTCATCATATTACCTAAGTATTCGTACAGTCCCTCAAATACTTGGTGGTTCGTCAGTTGTTTCTTCTCTGGTCTCAGTACCTTGTAACCAAGTGTAAGTGTTGCTGCTAGTGTTCTTCACAATTTTATGGTTAACCTTTTTGTTTTGTTTTGTTTAAAGTTTATTTATATAAGTAATCTCTGTACCCAACATGGCCCTCAAACTTACGACCCAGAGACCAAGAGCCAGCCACACACTTTTGGGACTAAGCTAGATAGGCGCCCCTGTGGTTAACTTTTTATTATGGAAATATTCAAGCATATGCTAAAGTGGGTGGAATAGTCTAATGAACTCTTTTGTCCCTGTCACTCAGCTTCAACAATTATCAACATTATGGCCTTGTCATTTTCTTTATATCCTCACTTGCTACCTCCTTCCTCCACATTGGTAATTTTGGAAGCAGATCCTAAATACCTTTCATCTGTAAAAACTTCAGTGTTTACAAATCTTTCAGTGATTTATCATATTCCTGGTCATGACTTTTCCAACATTTTATCTATTTCTAGCTTCATTCATGTCCTCTATAATTTTTGTTTGGACTAAACCTGAACTTTGTCAAATTTCAGAAAAAAGTTACCTACTGTAGTTACTGTGCATAACACACTGCTGTTGGGTAGGTAAAGATAAATGGCACACAGACACCACCCTTAAGGAGCTTAGAATAGTTTATACAAGTGGAACAGAGCTTTCAAAATACAGCTTGCATTCAGTACTAAAAGTGAGATCAAAGTATATGGGAGAAAAGAGCGATTATTTTTAAAAGATAAGATTGGTATGGGCTTCATAGAGAAGATAGCATTTGAAGGAAAGGGAGAAGCAGGAAGGATAAAGAATGTCTGTTCATCAGCTCTTTCCTATGGCGAATCTATGCAAGGTTAGGTCTGTGGAAACTGTGTCCAGTAATACTTGGGCTTCACAGAGTTCATGTAGAGCTAGTCAGGGAGTCATGGAGGGCTACTCGGGAAGTGCTGGAGCTAGAATTGGAATTCAGGTGTCTGTGACTCATGTCACTCTCTGGATTGTACTTGGACACATCTAAGATTTTCTCAGGAGAATATGGTGGAGGAGGGGAAGTGGTGGATGAGGATATTCCAGGTGGAAGGGTTAGTGTTCCTAAAAATAAATAGAGGTATAGTTTTTGAGATACCCATTAGTAGTCCAAGATGGCTAGCATTTAGGGTTTCTGAACCTCCAGTAGGAGATAAGGCTGGTTTCTGCTATGTAATGTAGTAAAATCATGAAAGGCTTCAAAGGCTCTATTAAGGAATTTGGACACTGTTCCATTTTACTTTGGGAGCCATTGAAAGTTTCCTTGAAGTAGGGAGAAACTCAGTCAGTACTGAACTTTTTAGTGTTTGTCTTTGAGATTGCCCCTTGTCCCCTGTACCTTCTTAAAACATTTGCTAATTAGGCATGAGGGAAATGTAACCTTCTATTTTAGTTTCATCTGTGCTTCTCAGTTCACTAGCCCTGTGCTTGATGGCATGGATAAATAGGAACGAAAGAAACTTCCAAATGGTTCTTACAGGTAACGGGTTTATATTAATCTTACAGGAAAGTATCTGTGAAGTGACTATAATGTTTCGTATTTTGTCTCTCATCTTAATTACAAGATTTTTAAAAAGCTTTATTTGTAAATAATCTCAAACATACAAATAAGTTGCAAAACCAAAAATAGTACAAAGAACTCCTAAATATCCTTTACCCTGATCACCTGTTAACATTTTGTCCCATTTGCTTGTCATTTGCACTCTCTCTTAATTTGTATATTTTTCTCTCTCTTGATCTCTGTCTATGCGTTATTTTTTTTCTAAACTATTTAAGTTTCATAACCCATGATTTTTTTGTCACTAAATACTTAGTATGTATTTCTTAAAAATAGGGATATTTTTCTTAATCATAAAATAGCAATTAACTAGCAAGTTTAGCAACGATTATAGTACTTTCCTTTTTCTTTTTTAACATTTATTTTTGAGAGAGAGAGTGGGGGAAGGGCAAAGAGACAGGGAGACACAGAATCTGAATCAGGCTCTAGGCTCTGAGCTATCAGTACAGAGCCCGATATGGGGCTTGAACTCACGAACAGTGAGATCATGACCTGAGCCAAAGCCAGCCGCTTAACCGACTGAGCCACCCAGGTGCCCTTATAGTATTTTCATTTACCATTCATGTTGTAATTTGGCCACAGAATTTTTAATATTCTCTAAACTCATATCCCACAGTTCATTCTGTCATAACTCTTAATAAATATTTGGATGATTGTTAGCAGTGAGTTTTCTAGCTTAACTTTTTGAAAAAACTTTATCTGAGACTAGGTGCTTATCTTTCCTAAGGTGATTCGGGATGTCATAAATGTGCACATGGAAGAACTCAGTAGTCATTGGCAGGAAGAACAGGAAAGACCAGAGGATGATGCTGAAAAGTATGTCATGGTGTTTACTGGTGAAAATATTCTCTTTTTAATCTGTTACTTTATAATCATTTGACTAAATTTTAGCATTTCCAAGACCATTAATAACACACTGTAGTTAACTAATATGCTTAAGTTGTTCCATGTTGTCCTTCCTCAAGATTATTATACCAGGGTTTCTCTGTGACATTGCCCTTTGACAGTTTTGGAGAAACAAATATATTGATGAAATATTAAAACAGTAAAATATTTAAGAGCTATATTTCTTTAACTGTCTTCTCATATGGAATATAAGGTTATACCTATTTTTTTTTAATGTTTGTTTATTATTTGAGAGAGAGAGTGAGAACGAGCAGGGGAGGGGCAGAGATCAAAGGAGAATCTGAAGCAGGCTCCAGGCTCTGAGCTGTCAGCATAGAACCCAATGTGGGGCTCAAACTCACAAACCGTGAGGTCATGACCTGAGCCAAAGTTGGATGCTTAACCCACTGAGCCATCCAGGTGCCCCAGCTTATACCTATTTATATCGATTCTATCGTTGTTCTGATATAGAATATTCAACTTTAAGCTGGTGTGTCTGTGTGTGTTTGGTGGAGACCAGTGTTTAACTGTTCTGGGGCACCTGGGTGGCTCAGTTGGTTAAGCATCCAACTTTGGCTCAGATCATGATCCCAAGGGTCATGAGTTTGAGCCCCGTGTCAGGCTCTGTCAGAGCCTGGAGCCTGCTTCAGATTCTATCTCCCTCTCTTTTGTACCCCCCATACTCATGCTCTGTCTCTGTCTCTCTCAAAAATAAACATTAAAAAAAATTAAAGAATAAAACTGAACTATTCTTTCTGTTTTTCAGGAATGAAGAAAGGCGATCGGCTTCAGTAGATTCACGGCAGTCTGGTGGAAGCTATTTGGATGCTGAGTGTTCACGACATAGAAGGGATCGGAGTAGGAGTCCACATAAAAGAAAAAGAAATAAAGATAAGGATAAAAACTGGGACTCAAGAAGAAGGAAAGAGAGGTGAGTCTAACACTGCATCATCTGATGTTGAACTGTTTACTTTTGAAAAGTAAATAGATCTGTCTGTTGTAGAGTATGTTGAGAAAATGGATTATAAGAGTAAATTACAGTACAGAGAGTAAGTAATTGATGAGAATTCATATCATTTGTCTTACGTTAGTTCAAATAACCACAGCTCTGGTGGCATAGTTCTCTATATGACTGATTGGATGTGGGTTTCCCTCTTTTACTCCTAGTCAGTTTCCTAGTCATGACATATGGAAGTAATGTCTAGGTAGGAGGTTAACTGTCAACAAGGTGTTTGCCTAGATCTCTTTTTTTCTGCTCCATCCTCCCTCCTTTTTCTTATTATTTCTTTCTCCTGCTAATTCTTGAGTTAAAGGGTATATAGGGTCAGAGAGAAGATCCAAACTTTAATGTCAAGTCAATTTTGCCCTTGTTAATAACTCTCATAGAATTTGATGGCTAGAAAAATATGAACTAATACTAAAATAATAAATGTAAGTCATTTGTGGTCTATTCCTGTAGTCCAGCTGCCTCTGGGCATCTGCCTGGATCTCACTTTCATCAGGTCTCTAATTGAACATACTTTTTCTCATTCTGCCCCTCTTTTCCCAGCATTCCATATTCTGATTAATGGGATGACCATCATCTATTCACCTAAGCAGAAGTCAAGGATTTATTTTAGTGGCTTCTATTTTATTCCTACCATTTAGTTCCTAATTGCTGTCAGTTTTACCTGAAGATGCTTTACATGCACCTCCTTGTCTCTGTCCTTACTGCTGTCCATCTGGAAAATGATAGTTTTTCCTAATTGTTCTATCTGCTTGTAAGCTTGTCTCATATGGAGACATCCCTACTCTACTGCCAGAGTGAACTTTCACTCTTAAAACTTTTCAGTGTCAAAATTCACATTGTTTAGAATGGCTCTTAAACCCTCCAGGATAAGGGCTCTGCCTACCCATCCTTGTATTTTGCCAAAACCCCATGAAATGCCAAAATTATGCTATAGCCAGCCTGAATTACTTAGAGTTCCTCATCTATACTGTGCCACATTTGTGCCTTTCTCTGTCAGGTTCTGCTGCCTAATTTTTATTTTTAAAGCCTGCTTGGTGAGCCCTTCCTTGTCCTTTAAGACCCAGCTTAGTCATTTCCATGAAACCTATTCTCACTGAGGCAGAGCTGATCTCTCCCATCGTGTCAGCACTCTGCTTAGCATGTTCTTTTTATTGAACTTATGTTATTACTCTCCCTACTAGACTGAGCTCCTTGAAGGCGGGTCGATGTCTTACTTAGTATCATATGCCCAGTGTTTGTCTAATAATGGCCTCTCAAATGATATCTTTTCTCTCTTCAGGGCCAATAGTGATCAGGAATTAGTAATGCTTATTGGTTCAATAATTTTGCTCATCTCACTGTCATTCATTTCATAGGTTTCAAGCTAGCTGTGATTTTATCCTATTCTTATAAATAAGAAGTATTTGCTTAGTAATCCCTTTTTTTTTTTAATTTTTTTTTTTCACGTTTATTCATTTTTGGGATAGAGAGAGACAGAGCATGAACGGGGGAGGGGCAGAGAGAGAGGGAGACACAGAATTGGAAACAGGCTCCAGGCTCTGAGCCATTAGCCCAGAGCCTGACGCGGGGCTCGAACTCACGGACCGCGAGATCGTGACCTGGCTGAAGTCGGACGCTTAACCGACTGCGCCACCCAGGCGCCCCTAGTAATCCCTTTTGATTCACATAATGAATGGTATTTTATAATAATTATACACAAATTAACTCTTAGTTATCAGAGTTATTCTTTTACTTCCTTATGGTTTGTTCATGCTTCTTCCATTTGAGTAATTCTTAGCATTTCTGGTCAGTTTTTATTGACTTAAATACATTAGCCTCAAATATAAACATGAAATAATTTTCCTTTAGAGAGGATATATTTAGAGTTTAAATATAAACTGAGTATCAGTAGGAAATACATCCTTCTCAGTAGTGTAGGACTTATCTTTGATATCCACACTTGAGGTGGAATGAATTGTAGGGAGCTGAGATAGGAGCTAGCATAAAGATATCAGACCATTTCTGACTTCAATATTTTATTTGAAATGAATTCTCCCCTTCTCATGAGTGTATATTCAAAATCACCTTTAAAGTGGAACTCCAAAATGCAACTTAAAAAAATCTCATTTTGCTTGTCCCCATGTCAATTTTGTCCCTTGGTTTTAACGTTTAATTTTCTACATTTACTCTTAAACAACTGTTTAGGGGCATCTTGCTGGCTCAGTTGGTAAAACATGTGAGTCTAGATCTCAGGATCATGAGTTCAAGTTATGTTGAGTGTACAGCTTACTTAAAAACAGTGACTGTTTAGTTCTGAATGCATGTTATAACTTGTTCTGAAGTATACTAGTGAGTTATCGTTTTAACATTGATATTAAAATGTCCATCATTTGTAATATTTTTTTTTTCCACTCCTGTCATTTCAGGGATGGGGAAAGACACCATAGTCATAAAAGAAGAAAGCAAAAAATATAAATGAGGTATTTGTGCATGTATTAATTATGCTTATGCCATGATAACCAATATGCCAATATTTTAATTACAATTGCTTTGAGTAAAAGAATGTGTTTCTATGACTTGTGTAGTGCTCAGATTATTGATTTTCAGTAAGTACTTATGTTTCTAACCATGAGTACACTATCATGCCCTATAATTTTGTTTCACTTATATTTTAATAGATGATTGCTTCCTATTACTGATTTTGTTTCATTCTTTGTTATAGTTTATGTATCAGAAAATTCTTTAATTAAAGTCAGTACTTAAGCTATATAAATAATACACAAATACATTTGCATTAAAAAAAAATTAAACCTTTCAGTTAGGTTAATGTCCCCTTGGAACACCACCTATAATCCCTGTGGCCACCCCAGGAACTACTATTTACCACTATACTGGTAAATTGTAATAGGGAAAGACGACTTACATATCTGTCAGAAGGGAAATAGCCTGGTTAAATAAAATATGGAATAGTCGTGGGATTACTATATTGGACCTAAAAGAAATAAACTTTATCTAGATTAATGTGGATAGATCTCAGAAATATAATGCTGAGTGAAAATAACAAGCTGAAGAAAGATAGATACAAGTTATATTTATGTACAATATAATACTATACATTTTCTGTGACCATATATGTATGTAAATACATCTTTAAGGGTTTAGAAGAACCCATACCAAATTCATAATAGTGATTATTTGGGGGAGGAGTTATAGATGGGAGAGGTTAGGAGTGAAAACCAGGATTGAGAAAGTGGTCGAAGAAGATTTTAGCTTTATCCATAATACATTAATTTTCAAGAATCAGATGCTTATGTTTCACTTGTTAATTAAAATTAGATTTTAATTAAAACTAAAAATACACTGTATTTTCTTTCATGTAAATCATTTTTATTGAGGTTTACTGCTTCTATAAAATAAAATACATCCGTTTTAAGTGTAAGTTTCATTGACTTTTGACAAACTTTTACCCCTGCCAACAAAATCACCTTAATCAAGATAGAGAACATTTCCATCATCCCCAAAAGTTACCATATGCCCCTTTTACCAGGCAGTTTCTCTGCCCCCCCTCTAGGCAACCACAGACTGGTTCTTGTTGCTGTTGATTAGATGTATTTTTTTTAGAAGTCATATAAACAGAATCCTACAATACGTACCTTCTTCTACTCCACGTGTTTTTAGATCAATCCATGTTGTATGCATCAGTCGTCCCTTTCTTTTTCTTAGTATATTCTGTTGTTATGATGGATCACCCAGGTGAGACTTAAGCATTAAATGTTAATCATCTCATGTCTAATAGCAACATCGTGATTCTTGGATACCCAGGATAAGGACTCCAAGGTGGGTTCCAAATAGAAATGAAACTTTAATTATTTCAATAAGTGACTGATAATGACACAAAGGTTGACTGGATTTAGATCAGATTGGCTGTTAGGCTTCAGGTATGAGAAACAACTCTCAGATTTATAAGTTGGAAATCAACTGTTCACTTGCCAATTTGAAGTCTTACTACTGCTGTTGTACTTCGTTTCTAAATATATAAAATTCAGATTTAAAAATCTTAAGGATTTTGGCATTATAATGTTGAACCATGTAAAATTGCTGCTTTTGTGGGTCAAAACCATTTGAATTACCAGCAATTTTATATATTGTAACTTAATTTATCATTTTGTTTTTCAATATGATTTCATTGATTTTGCTGAGTGGAAGAAACCGAAGAGTAAGATAGAAAGGCATACTTGGGTTTCTGGTAGAAGAGAGAAATAAGTGGAAAGGAGAAGTGGGGTGGTGGGATTGGGGAAAAGTAGGATAGTATGGAAAAATGTAACCAGAGTGCCCGTTTTAGCAGCACATATGCTAAAATTGAAATAATACAGAGAATAATACAGAGAAGATTAGTATGGTTTCTGGGCAAGAATGACACGTAAAATGTAACCAGGGTTCTTTACAGATTTTTAAGTATAATATCAACTACTGCGAACTATCCATTAAAATATAGATGTAGATGATAAGAGGCTTTGTTTGATCCTTGCATGTTTTAATTTTCCATGCTTGCCTCTTTGTGTTTCAGACTCCTTCACTGGATTATGGCTCCTTGAGAGCAGGTTTTACATTTTTATCAATATAACCCCCCACAGTGGTTGTCAATTTATTATCTTAAATTTTGACAAAAGCATTTGCAAGCCCCTGTCATTTAATATCTAATTTTTGATTCATAAAGTACTGATATTAATAATTACTATAACTGTTACCCATTTTACCTGTTTAATCCTATTTCTGATGGTACCTTTTTGCCTACATTTATGATCTACTGGCTATCACAATATTCTCTCCTGAAGTCTTTTAAAAGCACTAAGGATAGCTAACATTTATTGAGCACTCACTATGTAGCAGACTCTGTTTTGCATTGATAGAAGAACATCATCAATACACACACACACGTGTAATTTTAACACATGTGTACCGGACCATTTTAGCCAATTTTTTGTTTGTTTATTTTGAGAGAGAGAGAGAGAGAGAGTGTGTGTGTGTGTGTGTGTGTGTGTGTATGAGTGGAAAGAGAGTGTGTGTGTGTGTGTGTGTGTGTGTGTGTGTGTGTGTGTGTGTGTAGGAGAGGCAGAGGGAGAATCCCAAGCAGTCTCTGACAGCCTGTGCGAATGGACCCCACGAACTGTGAGACCATGACTTGAGGCAAAATCAAAGGTCTGACGCTTAACCAACTAAGCCACCCAGTCTCCTCTACCATTTTAGCCATTTTCAAGTGTATAGTTCAGTGGCATTAACATTCATGTTGTTGTACAACTGTCACTGCCATACGTTTCCAGAATGTTTTCATCATCCCAAACTGAAAATCTCTACTCATTAAACAGCAACTCTCCGTTTACCTCTTCTCCCAGCCCTTGGTAACCACCACACCACTTTCTGTCTCTAGGAATTTGACTATTCTAGGGAAGTCATGTAAGTGGAATAATAGACTATTTGTTTTTCTGGTGTCTGGCTTATTTTACTTAGTGTTTTCAGGGTTCATCCATGTTGTAGCATGTATCAGCATTTCATTTCTTTCAAGGCTAACTAATATTCCATTGCGTGTATATTCCATATTTGTTCGTCATTCATCTGTTGGTGGATGTTTGGGTTATTTCCAACTTTTGGGTACTGTGAATAATGCTGCTGTGAACATGGCTGTACAAAGATCTGTTTGACTCCCTGCTTTCACTTCTTGTAAATGTGTACCTAGAATTAGAATTGCTGGGTCATAAGGTAACTGTGTTTAATTTTTTGAGAAACCACTACACTGTTTTCCACAGGGTCTGTGCATTTTACATTCTGACCAGCAATGCCCCAGAGATCCAGTTTCTCCACATCTTTGGCAACACTTGGTATTTTCTGGTGGTTTTTTGTTTTTTGGTAATAGCCATTCCAGTGGGTGTGAAGTGGTATTTCATTGTGGTTTTGATGAGCTCTTTATATTAAACATATTTAGTTCTCAGAAAACACTCTGACACACCACTAAATACTGACATTATCACCATTTTAGAAATGAGGAAACTGAAGCTGAAGGAACTCAGTAACTTTCTCTCATTCTCAAAGACAGTGGTGGAGCTGGAGTTCTAGTCTAGGCAGTCTTGCCCCAGGGTCCGTGCTCTTTCAGTATTTCTCTCTCATAATTACTCATGCACTGCTTCCATCTCCGACTAGGTTTTAAAATTTTTTGAAAGTAAAATACATAATGCTTATCTTTGAATCCCCAAAGTGCTTCGTATGATTCCTTGAATAATGTAGGTAATAAATGTTTGTGGATGAGAAAATTTAGGCATAGAGATGCTTAATTATTTTCCCAACATCATACAAACAACACAACAAAGACTGGAACTAGAGCCCCTGCTCTTAACCACTATACAAACTTTTATTTATTTATTTTTTTGATTTTTATTTTTTAAGTAATCTCTACACTCAACATGGGGCCCAAACTCACAACCCCAAGATCAAGAGTTGCATGTTCCATCAACCGAGCCAGCCAGGCACCCCTATACAAACTTTTATTAACTGTGGATGCTTTTTAATGGATTCCCATTATGTTAATGTCTGCCATTTCATAGCAGTCTCTGTATATCCACCAAGTTCTCTGAACTCCTTTATGAAATCCAAAAAAAAATGAACATTTTGCCGCCTGCCATTTTGTTAAATTCAAGCTGATCCATAAATGAACTTGCTTTGTATCTTGATACCCTTTAATTGTGCACCAAAGTTCATTGCATCAATCAGCTTTACATTTCACATGAACTCATAAAAATCAAAATCTCACAACACCTCCCCAAATTAAGACTGCTTGATAGTTAAATGATAGATTCTTAGAGAAATCTTAGCCAACATAAGGAAATTGGAAACAACTGAGGAAAAACTCAGACCTGCTTAATCCCCTGTCTGCTGCTTCCCATTTCCTGCTTATCTTGAGGAGGAGGATGTGGGTATGGTTTTTCAATCTATCATAGGATAATAGTGCTAATGCTGAAACTCAAGAGAGAAGGGATCTGTGAGCAGAAAGAAATTAAGGAAGCTTCTCAAATATTTAGTCTTGGTTGCTTTAATGTATTTGTTGTCAAGGTGGCTGCTGTGCAGAGCCCAGGACACTGATTACATTCAATAGGAAACTTAACTCATCACTCAGAATTTAATTAGATCAATGATCTCCAGGTATTGGCCACTTTTGAGTAAGGCTGATTGGATAATCTCAGGCCTTTTAGTGAAAATTAGTTGTCAAATGGTAAATTTTACATAAGATGTTTTAAATTGGCTTTGAAAAATATTTTCTAATCACCTATATATTCTATCACAGAAATATTAATACTATAAAAGTGTGTGTAGGGTTTTTACCCATGTCTTTGAGGATGCTTTCTTTTAATGTTTAGTGAGTTCATAAAGGTCCAAGAGGTCTGATGTAAAGCTTTGTTGCGTTGAGTATAAAAAAACAAAATCTACTTGTAGTTGTTTGAGTATATTTATAAGGCTAATTTCTTTTTATGTAGCTTGCTTTTGAGTTGTTATAATTGAGCCAGCAGGTGTGTTAATTACTAAACTAAACCTCACTTATTTGTTACATTAATGATTGTACTTCCTACTCTGGTCACAAATTTGGGAATTTGGTGTAATGGAAAGTCTTCACAGCTTTTGGATATTTAGATTGGGACCAGGATTTGTATTTCTGTCTTTCAGGAAAGAAAAAAGTAAGATTTGTCGGATGTAAGGGGCTGCATGCTAGATTCATCTTTACTGAGTAAGTTGAGTCAGTTTCCCATTCAAAAAACCAGTATGGCCACCTAAGAGAAAGGATGCTGCCATAAAATAGAATGTAAACTTCTAAGCTTATTTTTAGTTCTTTGGTTTAGTAATAAAAGGCAGGAGGCACTTCCAATTTAAAAAGTTGCTGCTCATAACATCTGGACACTATTAAATTAAGGAAGGCTGCAGGCTCCAGAGAGTCCTGCCTTCTGAGGATCATACCTTGTGGCACCAATTAAGGGATTTGGGGTTGGGTTGCTTGAGTACTGTGTTTATGAGGCTCGTTTCCCATAATCATGGCGCTTTGGTAACCCAAGTTGTTCTTCCAGTTCGAAGTCATGATTCCTCTTTTAGAATGAGAAAGCTAATTAAGGGGAGATTTAGGGAATACAGAGAGATGGGCTTTATTTGCTGTTGCTGACACTAATATA